TACAAAGCCTCAGGGAGATGGTTCTATGTACAGAGGAGACAAAAGCTGAACTTTTTCTCAAGGCACATCAGCTGTTCACAGATGAAAATGAAGCATATCAAGAATAGACTGGGCCTCATGCAACATTTTAGTCTTGTCCTAAATTTCTTTTACTTTTTTGTTGCATGGCATCCTATGAAAACACCACATCAGATTTAAAAACAATTCTTAACTTCAGTAACGGTTCCTTGTAAACCTTCACTGTCCGGCTGCAGCTTTTATAGTTTTCAGTCAGTTAGGATTAAAATATTTATTTTTGTCTTTGAGCTAAATGCCATAATATTCTGACTCAGATAAAGCTCTAATTATGAGCTTCTCAATGTCCAATTCCACTTGAGTGTAAGTGAGCCTGCGTGCTAGAGAAATGCAAATTTGCATAATTGGAAATTGCCTAAAAATAGCATATAAAAGTACATATTCTTGTCAGACTGTGCATTGACAAAAAAGGCATCAAAAACGAAGAAGAAAAACTTTATTAGTTAGGAGATCGAGGTGCTGCTGACTGAGAACGGAGGAGCAGAATTAAAGGACCAGTAAAAGCCATGAAGTAGAGAATAATTCACAAGAGCTGGAAATTATGTGTTTATACTTACAGAAGTAAAAATGAAAGAATAAAAGTAGAAAATCTTTGATCCAAAAACAGTGTAAACTACTGGTGAAAGGAAGAGATGCAAAAATATGATGTAAATGCTTGAAGTTGAATTTTGCCATTAATCAACAACGACATCATTCTGCACAATCTCCTTTTTATACACACATACAAATTCGTTCTGCCATCGTAGTGAGGACCATGTGTTGACTCCCATTGATTTTCTGTCATTTTGAACCCTTTCTTTGCCCTAACCCTAAAACTTACCCTAAACCTAACCATTAACAATGCATACTTCACCTTCACCCTAACCCTAACCAATTGACAGCTGAGCCCTAAACATGACCATTAGCAAAATAGCATGTGAGCACCGGCAAAATGTCCTCACTTTGCGACAACTGGTCCTCAATCTGTTGGTGAAATAGGAAAGATGGTCCTCACTCTGTACGCTAGACAGGCATACACACACACACAACACACGTATGTACTCTGAATCTCCAGACCACATCTGCCATTCCAGATGTTTTATGTATAGATGAGACAAAGATATAA